ATTGCTTATTGCAAGCTTAAAATTGAGAGTTTGGTGGATCTCAGACACCAAGAGAGCTGTAAATGTTAATCAGGATGCCTGGGGTGGCTGGTTGGGTATTTTGATGCAAATCCTGCTGTGGTTGTCTCCAAGGCTTTGGTTCCTTTCATGCTTCCTGGTTGCAAACTAGCTGTCTAGGGGATAAATCTTTAACACACAGATCATTCCGTTTTCTGCTCAGGGTTTACACCACCTTCTAGTTTGGACTGGGATAAAATGGAAGGACAACAGTGTGAAACCTCCATGGACAGGCTGCAAGTTGTTTGGGAGAAGGATGAACAAAGCAACCCAGCTGTTCCTGAGATGCTATTTTTAGATTTAAAGACTCTTCAGGTGGAGAGAGATAATCTGCCCCAAAGTCAAGCATAAAAGGAGCAATAAAGTCCTGCTCACAATTCTAGAACTTCCTTCTGAGTAAGTAAAAAAATCATCTCCACCTTCCTTGAGTCATCTGAAGCTGAAGACTATAAGGGAGAAAACCTTTACCATAGAATTTCCTGAGTTGGAAAGGACCCACAAGGATCATAGTAAGGTCATACAGAGATGTATTAGTGCATTAAAAAACTGACTTTTCAGCTTTCAGTAATCAGATCTTGCTGTATGTCATTCTGTTTATATCTTCATTCCCTAGCACTGAGAAATTAGCTATGGATAATGATGTCTACATTCCTGATTAGTCCATAAAGCCACAAGCCACAGAATCACAGAATGGTTTGAGTTGGAAGGGACCTTAAAGATCATTGACTTTCAACTTCCCTGCCATGAGCAGGTACACCTTCCCCTAGCCCAGGTGGCTCCAAGCCCCATCCAACCTGGGCTGGAACACTCCCAGGGATGGAGCAGCCACAGCTTCTCTGGACTAACTTGTGCCAGTGCCTCAGCACCCTCACAGGGAAGAGTTTCTTCCCAATATCCAATCTAAATCACCCTCCTTCAGCTTAAAGCCACTAGGAGTGAGACCTCTGTACAGGGCTGAGGTGAGCTATGCTTGAAGGCAGTTGGAAATGAGGTCCTGTGTGCTTTGAACCTGGATCCTGCTGGACAATGTGATTTTAATCAGGAATAGCTCAGGGTGCTTCCAGTGGGAGTATTTTATAGCTGAGGTACATATATAAGAAAGAGCATGTCACATAGAATACACTTAGTGTAATAAACTGAAATAATAACATGGATAAATCCAAGTTTATTCCCCAATGAAGGATAATTCTGTGTTATTGTGCTCTGAAGCTCAAGTTGGTTTTGAATTGCCAATGTACTTTGGTTTGTAGCAAAATAACTGCAGCAAACACCAGTGCCACAACTGGTTCCTGGGAATACATTGGATAATGGGCAAGATTCAGGCTTGGCTGGCATTCCAGGCAGTATCCTTGTTCTCCTAAGTGCCTACCTCTGACATACCATCCCAGCAGCACTGCTCATTACTCAGCTGATGGCAGTGGAGACCCTCTAATCTCAGTGGGATGTGGAATAGAACTCCTTGTCCACAGGTTGATGGGGAAGCAGAATTCACCCCCAAACCTATCTCCACCTTATCACTCTCTACAACTACCTGAAAGGAGGTTGTAGCTGGGTGGATGCAAGTCATTTTCCCAAGGAATAAGTGATAGGACAAGAGGAAATGTCCTCAAATTGCACTGGGGGAGGTTTAGATTGGATATTAGGGAAACTTCCTTCGCTGAAAGAGTTGTCAAGCAATGGAACAGGTGCTTAGGGCAGGGGTGAAGTTACCATCCTGGGAAGAATTCAAAAGATGTGTAGATGTGGCATTTGGGGAAATGGTTTAGTGGTAAATTAATGGTTGGACTTGATCTTAGAGGTCTTTTTCAACATGTGAGTTCCTGATTGTTTCCAGCTCTTGCAGTAACTACTCTGGGACAGTGGGCAAAGGGCTGTCTTCTTTGTCACTCAAGTGTACACAGCAGTAACACTTATCCCAAGGCTCTGTGTGTCAGGATACTTAGAGAGGGGAAAAACATGTGCTGGTCCAAAGCTTCAGGTCTTCACTGAAGGACCCTTAAAACTCATGTTTTACCATTGAAACTGGGGAAATTCTTAACAGTAAGAACATGTGATGGTTGAATTTTCAACCCCTTTTCCTAAAGTGACAGAACAGATGTTTCTTCATCTCATTCTTCAGTTGGTGTTTCCTTTAAGTCTGACAGTGTAGTAGTTCATCTGAGAGGAACTGAGTTCAGTGTCAGAGTACACAGAGAGCTAGAATTTACGTTGAAATCAAACCCCAAACTGAACCCTAGAAATGGCCAGAACCATTCCTAGGAATTCCCAAAGGACATCTGTCCTACACAGACATTTACTTCCAGTCTGAGTAACACCTTTTTGACTTCAGAGTTGAAGGAGGAGAGAGGAAGAGCAAGAAGGTTAGGAAAAGTATCATGTCTTGGAAAGGACTAAGGACAATGGAACATGCTGCCAGGATAGGTTGGGAAACTGCCAGGGCTGGAGAGAGAATTGGGAGTTTGACTTTGCTTATTTAAAAGGGAAATCAAAGACAACAGCAATGCAGGGAGATGGACTAAACCCAGTAAATATCCCTTCTGCTCATAGATGAGAAGGGCTTCAAGGGTATTCCAGGATCCTTAAGACCTTGTTCATGCCCACAAGGCAAGGAGTTTCCTGCTGGTGAAGGAATGTGTTTGGATTCAGATGCCATGGAAGGGGTTGGGATAGGTCTAGGATGCTCTTGGATGCAAAAGGCAAGGCAGACTTACGCTAACGTTAGTTTTATCACTTCCACCAGAAGAAACACTCCAGCGTTTTACAACCTAAACATACATGAAAGAGAAAACATTCCTTTGTTGATACTTTCATCCCTGGTATCTGCAGTTTGCCTTCTCAGGGCAAGCTGAAGATGGGGCAGAAGTTCCAGCAGGTCCTCAGCAGCAAATGGTAGAAAAAAGGGGTGAAAAAAAGCTGTTTATTTTACTTTGTACTTTTTTGGGGATGCTTTTTAAACCAATATCCACTCCTGAGTTGCCAATACTAATCTTCATAAACTTCCTCTCTCAGGGTAGATCCAAGGCAAAATCACAACTTGAAAAGGCTTCAGTCAATATGCAAAGGCCACTTTCACAGCTTCCTGCAGCAGCTCAAAGCCCTTTGATGCTGACAGTGGCAACTTTAATGCTACATAGATGCATCTCTGTAATGCTAAAAACATCTCAATCTATAAAACCCTCCTGCAAACTTAGCAGGGATTAGATTTTACTTGGCATTTAAGCACTTTTGGGTGTCATACCTAAATAATAGGGGAAAAAAGGCAGGGAGATAACACTCAGTGAAACGCATTGGGATTTTGGGTCAACAGAGGCTTCTTTAATCAGAACCTGCCTACTAGATGCACTATCCCTCTCATTCTGTACCACTGGACAGCCCATAATGACACCTTGGCACATGAAATAAAAGGGGGATTTGCTGGGATCTGATCTCTGGAGCTCAGCACAGCAATGCTGTGAGGTCTGAACACAGTCCAAAGGCTCTGCAGTGTTCTGCTTCCCCAAAGAGCTGAACTAAACCTCTTGTTCAATCACCCTCTGAGCTCTGGTCTTGCCTCTAAGGGAGTCCCATCAAAATAAGCTCCACTACTGCCACCTTGACCATGCTGCATCCTGAATCTGACTTAGAATTGTGGAATCTTTAAGGTTGGAAAAGACCTCTAGGTTCATCCAGTCCAACCCTTAGCCCAGCACTGCCAAGCTCACCACTAACCCATGCTCCTCAGCACCACATCCATATGGGTTTTTAACATATCCAGAGATGGTTGTTCCACCACTTCCCTGGGCAGTCTGTTCAAATGCTTGACAACCCTTACAGTGAAGACATTTTCCCTAATATCCCCTAATATCCAATCTAAACCTCCCCTGGTGCAACTGGAGATGATTACTTCTCATCCTGATACTTGTTACTTTGGACAAGAGACCAATCCTCACCTCATTACAACCTCCCTCCAGGTAGTTGTATAGAGCAAGGTCCCCTCTGAGCCTCCTTTTCTCCAGGCTGAGCCTCCCCAGCTGCCTCAGCTGCTCCTCATCAGACTTGTGCTCCAGACTCTTCCCCACCTCCACTGTCCTTCTCTGGACATGCTCCAGCCCCTCAATGTCTTTCTTGTTGTGAGGGCCTTTGATTGCAAAGGAACAAGAATGCTATAAATAGCTCCCCTTGATCCTCTCCTGAGTGCAGGCACAACCCCAAATTGTTTTATTGCCAACTTTGTTCTGCCACTTGCTTTTCCCTGCTGCTGGAGTAGATAGACTTCCTTGCAACCTTCTGGTCCTTTTCCAGTGGACTGAGATATGGGGGAGGTGTCATCTGCCTGCCCATCCTTATTTGTGTTATCCACAACATTCACTACAGATGTCCCTGATAGCTGTTTCTGGTACCACATCTCTGACCCCCTGAAAGGCCCTTCCCTCCACCTCCCTTCCTCAAGGGCTCCTTTTCCTTGGAAGTTTGCTCCTGTTGAGGAAAAAACTTGTATCAGAAGACCACAATGGTTTGGGTTGGAAAGGACCTTCAAGATCATCTAGTTCCAACCCCCTGCCATGGGCAGGGACACCTTCCACTAGACCAGGTTGCTCAGAGCCTGATCCAACCTGGTTATCCTCAAGACACTTCGAGTTTCCAGTTCCTACTTATGACTGGATGTATAGGACACAAAGAAATGACCTGAGAGGGGATGCAAAGAACAGGCACAGGCAACAAACACAAAGTAGACAACACCATGAACAGGCATGAGGACAGACATCCTCCTTCTGGGCTGTTGACCACTCGAGATGAGCTGGTGGTACCTCTGCAAGTCTGTGGTGCACATGTGCTTGTAGCAACATGCATGGATAGAAAATCAAGGTAAAGTGTTCAGTGAGTGCCCCTAAACCTTCCTGCTGCTTTCCATGCTCCTGTTGGCACTAGAGGGCTCTAGGAGATGATGGAAGTGTGGGACTCACCTTGCTGTCCGTTGTTGGAGACTCCTTCTCCTTCTCTGCGTGCTGGAGCTTTCTGTTCAGGTCTTGGAACATGTCTTGGTGACGTTTCCTTGTGTGCATGATTTTCTGCAGCAAACACAAGGGCCACAGATCAGCAAAGCCTATTCAGATAGAACATATCCTCCCCCTAGAGTTCCACACACCATTAATTCCTAGCTCTGTCTCCCTGCAGGTGCAATCTGCAGAGTTTTGTGAGGACCAATGTCTTTATTTTCAGGGTGAGATGGTAGGAGAATGTGGAAAAGACTTTCACCTTATGGTTACCCTAAACCTGCAAGAGCCAACTGTTCATTCTGCAGAGTTTGTGCTTGGCTGGAAATATTCTACTAGCAAGACCTAGGAAGTTTTGATGACCTTCTTTAACTGTTACCTGACCCCATGGCCACCCTGTTCTCAGTGTGTCTCCTTTGTAAATGTGTTCAGAGCTTACTCAAACATGTAGAATTTGGCTAAGTTCCATCAGAAATAATTTTCTTTGTATTTTGGTTCTTCTAAATTTCACTTCTACCTTCTAGTGCCCAGAAGGAGAGGCAGGACAGATTTCCATAAGAACTTCCCCTTGTATACAAGAGCATGTCAAATATGGTTTTCATGTGCTCTGCCAAGGGTTAGATAACTGAAGAATGTGGCTCAAAGGATTTGAGATCATCTTGAACTCTCAGCTTAGATGCACCATTGTGCCTCAATTTTGGACCAAGCTAACAACATGGAGCTTGGCAGTGAGTCCAGTGTTAATGCAACTGCTCATGGGCCTTAATGTAACTCTGTTTTGGAAAAAGTTAGCAGCTGTGAGGGGAATGGGTCAGGCTGGAAGGGAGCACAGTGGGATCATCTGGTCCAACCTCCCAGCTCCAGCAGGGTCAGCCTAGAGCACATGGCACAGGATTTCATCCAGATGGTTCTGGAATATCTCCAGTGAGGGAGACTCCACACCCTCTCTGGGCAATATGTTCCAGTGTGTGATCACCTGCACAGGAAAGAAGTTCTTCCTCATGTTCATCATCTTTGTAGCCTCTGCTGGACTCACTCCAGGAGCTCCATGTCTCTCCTGTACTGAGGAGCCTAGAACTGGACACAGCATTCCAGATGTGGCCCCACCAGGGCTGAGCAGGGAGCAAGGAGAGGATAGCTTGCCTGGGAGGGATGTTGTGATTGGACTCAGGACAGCTACACTAGCTCTCAGTAGCCCCACAGACCCTCTGTGGAGGATTGGCTCTTTCAAAACATTCCACTCTAAGGCTCAGGTGTGAGGACAGACATCTCCTTAGCTACAGTACAAAGTTTTTCCACCCAGGCTGATAATAAACCACCCATGTTTTTTAGCTACACAGGCTAAGCTTTGCTCCCCCAGTACAACTCTTCCAAGCCACTATTTTTAAACCCTTGAAGAAGTTCTTTGGGAAAAGCAGCACTCCTGCAAAGGTGCCAGGAAAGAAAACACAATTTCTTTTTCTCATCCTATCCCTAGGAAAGAATGTTCAGACAGGGATGTACTCACCTCAAAATCTAGCTCTGCATACCGGGATTTTCGCCTCTGCGTATCCGAAAGAAAAAGAGATGGGTGAGGATTAGTAAGGAGCTGATGCAACCACACAGTAGACAGAATAGGGAGAGTCCTTCTCCTTTTCCTTCTCCCTACATCATTAAGGTGTTTCTCTTCATGATGGAAAGTGCCAATGATTTAGAATCATAGATTGGTTTGGCTTGGAAGGGACCTC